ATAGCCATTTCCCCCCCCCCCAACAACCCCACCCACTCCCCCTCCCCAACGCCCACTGCATCATAATTACCTTAATGTTTGAACTGCAGAGCTCTCCAAGCTGCTGCTTTCTGGCAGAGAGAGAGAGGGGGAGAGCGAGGGAGAGCAGGAGGGAGGGAGGAGGAGGCTGGCTTGTAGACAAATGAAGCCCCAGTGAGAGCGCGAGCTTAGCGGTGAGCTGATGGGTGACATACGGGGGTGTCAGTGTTGCCTTTCGAACCAGAATGAGGCCACCACCGTTGTTAGGTTGTTGGGTCCCCCCTCCCCGCACCACCACTACACACCTGCCTGATGTGTGTGTGTAAATTTAACCTGTTCGTGACAGGCAGCTGCAGGCAGCATCTTTCATATCACACCAAGCAAGACCAAGGCTGCAGTATTTGGGTCCCGAAGGGGGGAGAAAAAGCAAAGAGGCTGCTGAAAGCTCTGTTGGCTCACGCACTGCACGAGTTTCCCCAGGTCTCAGCTCAAATTCCATGGGATTGTATATTCTCCCTGCCTGGATAGGCGTTTGGGGTACATCCCTGTTTCGCAGGGGACGACGTTTTTAATGAGCTTGCTCCTGCGAGAAATGGTGATGTTATTATATTGTATTTTATATTATCATCACCTACATGCCACAGCTGAGATCTGTGCCCTATTGTGCTAGGCGCTGTACGAACACAGCGTGAGACAGTCCTGGCCCTGAAGAACTTGCAGCCAAAGGGCGGGAGGGGAAATAGCTGCAGAGAGGTGCAGTGACTCACCCAAGGCCACACCAGCTGTCATGGGCACAGCTGGACTAGACCATGGGTCTCCTGATGCTCAGGGCTGTTCTCTGGATCATGTCAACCCTCAAAAGGTTGGGGGTTTGGGAGCGAGATCTCTGTCCGATCCAATAGGGAACAATACCGCGCCGGCAGGGAGGTGGACTGGATCATCTAGGACCTGACCTATAGGCCACTGAAGTGGCTCGACATCTTTCCATTGATTCCAGTGGTTCTAGGGTTGGGCATCTGTGAGATTTTGTAAATGGACCCAGCAGGTCCTCCTAACTCCATCCCACCAGGCAGGCCCCTGTGCTTGGAAATTACCCACGAGCCCCTACTCCTTGTGACAATGCTGGACGCTATAAGATGGGTGTCCCAGAATGCACTGCAGTGGCCCCTGAGAACTGGATGTGCCCAGATGACTCCATCCATTGTCTCCAGCTAAACCCACACCAAGGACCCGCCACGTTGTCACTGTCCCTGCAACAGCGTCCTTGCTTCGGCACTGAGCCGGAGCCCACTGAAATCAGCCAGTCTTTCCATGGACCTTAATGGGATCAGCCCCTAAGCGCAGCTGCAGTCTCAGAGGCTCAACCCTGATCTAGGGCCCCACGGCTCTGCTGTTTGGGCCCCACGGCTCTGAGCAGAGGAGGGAGCCTGTTCTGTAGCCACTTCCATCGCTCCCCCTGGCCAGAGACTTGCAGAGGGGCTCTTATCACAAGGTTCAGCAGTTTGCTGCCCTGGAGTTGGGAGGCCTGTGTGAATTGCTGAGAACGCTCCTGCAGCTGGAGACGTGACCACTGCAGCTAGCTAGGCCAGGAATACAGGCTCACGCCCCTCTCCCGAACGCTTCTGCTTCTGGCCTCAGCGGGAAGCAAATGAGCCAGCAGAAAAATGTGATATTTCTGGGCTTTGAAGGATGCCGAGCAGGGTTTGGTTCAGGTTTTCCAGGGAAGTTCCTGGTCTGTGCTTAGCTTTAGCGAAAGCGGGAGCTGAATCAAACTCCCCTCCTGTTTAGGGGTATCTGCAACCTGATCCCAGCTTGGGCACTGCCCTCTCAAGAACGGCCGAAGGAAAGCCCTAGATCACAAAATCCTGCCTCTGGGGAAAACGTAGAACCAGATCGAAATGCATCCCACCTCAATCTGGATTTGTTCCTTCTCCTCACCCCCGCCCCTCCGGAGACACTGGGAGTGGCCGGGTCTCAGGAGAAGGCAGAAGGGGGATGGAAAGGAAGAAAGAAAAGAGGAAAGTGAAAAGGAAAGAAGGGAGAGGGAACGGAAGAGAGTCAGAGGCACAAGATGGCAGCTTGATAAAGGCCCTAAATTTTCGGGCAGCGCCCACCCCTGGAATATATACGCTCCTCTGAGCCCAACACGCATTTGCTCCTTCTGTGTTACTTTCTGAGCACGTTGTTTGTGAATAAATTGCTTGCACTGGGATTTTAATTCATTCTCAGCTGCAATAATCACTTGAATTTAAGATTCTTCCCCCCCCCACCTAACACACACTTTTACCCTGCAATTTAATCCACAATGCAATTCCCTATTGATGGCTCCTTTAATGACACAGTTTCTCCCGCTACGCAGCTTTCCCCCAGCCTTTCCTCCCCCGCCGAGCGGCCTTTATGCTTTTCATGTCATTTCAATATTATTGGAGAATCTAATGAACTTGGAGCTGTCTGGCTTGGTTTCCATTGTGTGGGGCGCTCCTCTGTTTCCTTCATCCCCTTCCCCCTCCATCGCTTTGTCTTTCCTTCCTTTTATTTTAAATTGATTTATAGGTACCTCTCCCCCCCCGCCCCCATTTTATTTATCTGCTTCTTTTCCTCATTTCTTCCTTTGTCCTTGGTTATAACAACGTTGGGGGAGGGGGGAAAGTGAGGGAAGGAGGAAGCATTGGCAAAGGAAGATAGGAATCTCAGAATGTCCTGAAATCAATCCTGCACCCAAAGTTTCTGCAACGGGGGTTGAGCCGGGTTCTGCTCTCAGCCCTGCTGGTGGCAATCCAGAGTAAACTCAATGCAGACGCTCTGGATTTACACCCGGATCAGCCTCCTCTGCTCTGCAACCACGTGTTTATTAAGGAAGGACTAGATGACTCTGGACTCGCTGCGCCGATTCCCACGATAGTGCGTCGCGACGGCTTGTGCTGCTGCTTTTTGGTGCCCTGGGTTTTGAGGCCCAGCCGTAGCACCGGATAAAGCCCAGACGCTGGTGTAATCGCCTAGCCCTTTCAGCTGTCCTGCTTCTCCTCCTCTTCTCCCCTGGGCATTGCAACCAAACCCTGCAGTCAGCAAATACATTTTTAATGCCCTCTGCATCCTCTTACACCCGGGCTGACGCTCCACTAATGGCAGGCTGCTCCCTTTGGGGGCTGAGCCAAAACCCACCGGAGTCAGTGAAAACACAGTGGCTTTGGATTAGGCCCTAAGTCTAAATCCGGCCCATTGGGTGTGCGGAGGGGAGAGCGTCCATCTTTGTAGCTGGGTTGGTGTGTGTGGCATTGCGTGCGTGTATGTCTGGGGAGGAGGGAATGTCTGGTGCTGGCTGTGTGGAGCTGTAGGGTTTGTGTGTTTCTCTGACCGTGTCAGAGGGTTTGCATGTGTCTGCGTCTGACTGGGAGCATGCACAACACGAGAGGGGCTCTGTCTCCGGGGGGGTGCGGCTGTGTGTGTTAATAGCGAGCGTCCCAATTTCATTCCCTCGCCAGCCCCCAGCTCTCCATGGGGCCGGCTGGGGTGTGGTGAGTGGAGCCCCCCAGCTCTCCGTGGGGCCGGCTGGGGTGTGGTGAGTGGAGATCCCAGCTCTCCGTGGGGCTGGCTGGGGTGTGGTGAGTGGAGCCCCTCCAGCTCTCCATGGGGCTGGCTGGGATGTGGTGAGTGGAGATCCCAGCTCTCAGGGGGGCTGGCTGGGTCATGGTGGGGACTGGCTGGAGCTTAGAGCCCCCAGCTCTCCGTGGGGCTGGCTTGGGTATGGTGAGTGGAGCCCCCCAGCTCTCCGTGGGGCCAGCTGGGTCATGGTGGGGGCTGGCTGGGGCTTAGAGCCCCCAGCTCTCCATGGGGCCGGCTGGAGCGTGGTGGGGGGCATGCCCAGAGTCCAGAGAGATGACTAGAGGGGAGCTCTGATGCCAGTTCTCCCCATTCTATAGTCTGCCACTGAATCTCTCAGCAGGAATGTTGGGACGTAGCCCATAGGTCAGCCCTGCAGCACCACATGGGTAGCTCATGGTGACCTAAGCGATTGCTCCCACTTACCCCAGGGCTGTGTTTGGCCCGCTCTCCCCGTGCACCAGCTGGGACTTGTCTTTTCAAGGCTTTGGGCTCCTTCTCCAAGATTTCATTTAATTTCTAAAAAAAAAAGAATGAAATGGAAACAAAGGAGTTGCAAGTGCAATTAATGGAGCACCTGGGGAAGAAAGAGAGGAGCTGTGCCGGGGTCTCTCCCTCCATCAGCAGAGTGTTCTCAAGCACTCACAAAGAGCCCTTATTAATCACCTTTTGACATCAAGTAGGAAATTATAAGACACGGTTACACGCCTTCATTCAGGTGACAACCCAGCCCGGGCCACCAAGCGCAGTCGTTGTGGGGAAATTCAACAAAGAGGAGAGGAAAAAAAGAGGGCAGGTTTATACAACAGCCTGGGTCCAACGGCTGTTGTCTGAGCAACACTATGCCCTGGAGTTGAAACGCGGGAGGGGAAAGTGAGGCAGGGATGGCATGAGTATGGCCAAGGGCACTGCTGGGAGGAAGTTCCCCACCGTAGGGCACTGCTTTGGCAAAGCTCACATTGCTTAGGTCAGTCGCTGGCATGGCACCGCTGGAGGAAGTTTGCCACACCAGGGCACCGCTGGGAGGAAGCTCCCGCTGCTGGAGCGCTAGCTGGCATTGGCAGGTTATGGGTGTGGGGGGAGCTGGCATTAGATTAAAATTCTTCTTGGTACCAGTGATGGCTAATAGAAAATAAACCCTCCATGGTGGGAAGGCACAGGGGGGGAGAGCTCTGTAGGGCTTGAATGGTAAGATAAGGAAGCCAAGAGCAGAGACTGACTGGGGGGTGGGGGGTTGAGGACTGGGGAGGGGACAGGGCAGGAGGCCAAGAGGGAGGGACAAGGATTAGAGGCTGAGAGGGAGTTTGAACCAGACTGGGAATTAATGGGTTACGAAACCCGGAGAAGGAAACAAAGCTGCTGACACTAAAGTCCAAGGGTAACCTCTGTCTGGCTGAGCTGCCGAGTAAGCGCATTGGGGAGCTCAGCCCTGCCCCTTCAGGTCACGGCCTTGCTGATGATTGAAAAGTGCCCGGGGATGGTTATTGAGTCTCCAGGGCTCGATGTTCTCCCTTGTTTTTGCTCGCTGGAGCAGTGCAGTGGAACAGCTGCTGGTGCCCTCTTGATAGCAATCACTGGTGGGAGGCCTAGGTGGGAATCCAACCTTCCCCCTATGGGATAAAGCTCTAAATCCTCCCTAGGATACCCCTGCCTCCCCCTCCTGACTGGTCACGGGTCGGTTAGATGCTGCTTCTTTCCCACAATGGGTCCTGGACGGAGCATTTCCAAGCTCAGCCCCTGGGGGGCAGTCAGTCCTTGGCACAAGGTGCTGAAACGGCCACCAAGGGATCACACAAGGTGCTGAGATCCCATAGGCATGAAAGCGGCACTTCAGGCCAGGCCTGGTTCTCAGGGCTAAGCAGGCCCCACTGGGAACAAAGGGGGCGCAGCATCCTATAGGATCAAGCCCTTAGAACCGTTGTCACTTTGTGGTTTGGACATCTGGCTAGCAGAAACTCAACGGAGACCCACCCAACTTGTTTCACATGAGTCACCAACCAGGCATCAGATGGGTGTGATTTTTGCTCACTACTTTTCTGGGCTAGATTGGTGCAGCTGAGCTAGCCAGACCCCCTGGGAAGGAGTTGCCAATACTGAGAGGGTATTGTTTTTTAGGGAAAAATGACACATCTAAATTATTTGATGGAGGGGGGGAATTTGAGCTGCAAAATTTACATTAAAAAAACTCAGTGGCACCAATGTATTTTAATTTTATTTTGTTTTATTTATCTGCTTTTAAAGAATCAAGGATATAATCCTGGTAGGGTTGCATTAGAGCAAACAGATGCTTTCGGACTTAATGGCTTTTACATAGATTAAAAGAACAACAGCAGAAGAAAGAACAAATGTAAAGTCTCCATGAATGAGAGAGCAAAGTGTGGGCTTCCCTTCTGTAACTGCTCTGAAATGAATGCAACACTGCTGCCGGACTCTGCAGCCAGCAGAGAGAGTTCTTAGTGGTTTAAAGGTGCAGGACACAGAAACATAATCCTAATATCATGGTGTCAAGTATCAGGGGGTAGCCATGTTAGTCTGTATCCACAAAAACAACAAGGAGTCCGGTGGCACCTTAAAGACTAAGGGATTTATTTGGGCATAAGCTTTCGTGGGTAAAAAACCTCGCATCTGAAGAAATGAGGGTGTTTACCCACGAAAGCTTATGCCCAAATAAATCCCTTAGTCTTTAAGGTGCCACCGGACTCCTTGTTGTTTTTATAATCCTAACAGTTACCTGGCTAAACACAGCATCATTAGAGTAAATTATTTTGGGATAATCCTGAAATTATGCCAGGATCCACCAATTGTTGGTTCTTCGTAGCTCCAGAAGTCCCTGGTACCTCGCCTGTTAGGGATGGGTGTTAAAATAGAGCAGTTTCTTTTCCACCAAAACACCAATGAATCTCTGTTTATTTTGACTAGGCCTCATCTGGTATTTGATACATGGGCTAGGAATTAAATTAAGGCCACGGTTAGTCTGACGTGCCAGAGGCTGATTTTAAAGAGAAGCTGATGCCTAGTGAGGGGAAATCCTTAATTATAAGTGCCTTCCATGCAGAGGACCCAAAGTACTTCACAAACATGAATTAAACTCACACTACCCTGGGAGGTAGGTAGGTGATCTCTAATCCCTTGCAAAGAGTCTAGATTAGTTCGAATCTACCCATAGATCACTGGACGTGGGTATGTTATCCCCATGGGAGAAGCTGAGGCCCAGAGAGAAGTGACTTGCCCAATGCCAAATGCAAGACAGAGAAGGGGGACAGAACACAGGAGTCCTGGTTCCTTGCTCTAACCATTAGGTAACACCGCTTCTCTGTTCAGTTGCTAGAGCAGGTTTCATTAGTTAGACCAGCTCGCTAGTAAACTGCTTTCGAAAGGGCTAAGCAGCATGTCTGTCTTCTGCACCTTCCCTTCCCGGTATTTTCCCAGCAGGGATATGTGCATGTCAAGCCGGCTCTTTGTTTCTTAAGAGTCGATCTGCAGCCCCTTCTGTTGCTTCTTCCTCCACCTCGCATCATAATCCTCTGCTGGTGACATCACTGTTGGTTGCCATGGAGATGATTATGTCACCAACACAGGATTATAATTACTTCAGTAAGCAGCCGGAGCAGCCAGGCTCATTGAAAATTGGACATCTGAGCTGCAAGCCCTTCTCCTGGGTTAGGACCAGTGTGCGGATTGATACCATTCTCAGAGCACGCATCCAAACAACAGGAAGCAGATTTATGTCATGCCTTCCTATACAATCTAACATTATTACATCCAAGAGAGTGTTAAATTGCGTGCAGAATACACCTTTACCCCGATATAACGCTGTCCTCGGGAGCCAAAAAATCTTACAGGTGAAACCGCGTTATATCGAACTTGCTTTGATCCGCCGGAGCGCGCAGCCCCGCCCCCCCGGAGCGCTGCTTTACTGCGTTCTATCCGAATTCGTGTTATATCGGGGTAGAGATGTATATGAGTAAATACCCTGATATGGTGCTATAGCATACAGATGTCAGGAAGAGGCACAGATTTATGATCAAGAGGCAAAAACGATGGCTGGGTTCCCATCACGGCTTTGGCACTGACTCGCTGTGTGAGCTTGGGCAGATCACCTTCTTTCTCTGTGCCTCAGTTGCACCATCTGTGAAATGGGAACAGTGACCCTGCCTGTCTGCACGGTGAGGAATAATTAAGTGCTGCTCATTACCCTCCCATGAACACATGACGCTCTGTGTAGGTTAGGGTAACCAGACAGCAAGTGGGAAAAATCGGGACAGCGGGTGGGGGGTAATAGGAGCCTATAGAAGAAAAAGACCCCAAAATTGGGACTGTCCCTATAAAATAGGGACATCTGGTCATGCTAGTGTAGGTGCTATTGTAATTCTCTGGTGAGTGTGTGTTACGAGACCCCCTCTGGGCTGATCCACAGAGGAGATGAGGTTTTTTTCAGTCTCTAGCTACACCGCTTTGGCTCTTCAGTTCATGCTGTAGTAGCTCTTGTTTTCAGCTTTGGAGGTCCCCAGTGAGTTGGCCAACAGGGCAGCCAACATCACACTATCATTCTTAGATGCTACTAATAATCCTCCAGCAATGTGCATGACATTGAAGAATACCTCTGTGAGGCATGGCTAGAAAGGGTTAAACAGCCTGCAAAATAAATAACCCTCAAAAGACATGTAGGGAGAGCATGTTTGTGTTTTTGTGTATTTCCATGTGTATGAGTAGGTGACAATGTAATCAACAGTCCCTGAGGTCTGTCTAATTCAGAGGTCAAAAGAACATCCTAGCATTTTAATTAATTGTAAATGTGGGATATCTCGGTATTCATCTCTCTTTGAAATGTATAGCAAATAATCTGAATGGTGGAGGAACAAGCAAATTGCCTTATGTTAATTCTATAGCTAAGTACCGGTGATGGACCTCCTTCAAAGTCATCCTAATTCCCTTTTGAACTCCAACTTGTCAAAAGACATGAATTGTATAAAAGTTCCTTGGGTCCTGATTCTGTCATCTCAGATCCGCTTAGGCTTCGTCAGGGGAAGTTTGAGTCGCAAGACTGAGGTGCCAATTATGCTGGTACGCCCTGAATATGAGATTTGGACATTGGACTATGAACTATTTCTGAAAGAACTCTTTGCAACCACAAAGCTCGCCATCTCTGCTATGAATCTGATCTTCAATGAATTAAACTCATGTCTGTATGTATATTGATTTTTTTTAACCATACTCCCTCTCTCTTGTTTTTGAATAAATTGTAGTGTAGTTACTAAGAATTGGCTGTAGTGTGTATTTAGTTAAGATCTAGAATATCCAATAACCTGGGAGGTGATGTGTCTGATCCTTTGGGATTGACAGAACCTTTTCTTTTATATAATGAAATAAGATTTTCAGAAATCATCATATTTGACTTAGGTACCTGGATGGAGGAGGCGTGAGGCTGGATCACTTTAAGGGAACCGTGTTGTTTGGATTTCTGAGTAACCAGTGAGGTAATAAAGAAGCTGGTTTATGCTGGCTTGGTAAATCTAAGT